GCACCAGCAGCTGAAAGCATCAGAAAAGACTTCATAAAGAAAGTAGCAATGGAGGGGAGCTTCAAAGGAATTCTAAGAACCTGTGGATTTACCAGCACAGAGGCAAAGAGGATCCAACCGACAGCATTGGCCTCCTTTGTGTTCTTCATACAACGCTTCTCCATCTGCAGACTCCAGACGTTTCTACTGACTATCCTCCATGCCTGGGGTGCTCTACCTACTAATCTCCTTCTCCTGGCTTCCTGTTCTTCTTTCAAATCCCTGTTCAATTTTACCCTTCTCTAGGAAGGTTTTCTCAATTCTTCTTAATTCTAGTGCTTTCCCTCTTTTTATTATCTCCAATTTGCCCAGTATGTAGCTTGTTAGTACATAATTGTTTGACTGTTTTCTCCCTCATTAGACTGTGAGCTCCTTGAGAACAGGGACTATTTTTTTTACCTTTATTTATGTCTCCAGTACTTAGCACAATGCCTAGCACATAGTAGGCATTCAATAAATGTTTATTGATTGACTGAGAGGAACAGCAAGGCCAGTTTGGTTAGACTTGAAGCAATCAGAGTGTTTCAATGCACCAACCAGTGCTTGAAAGAGAGTTTTATATAATAAGGCTGGGAAAATTAAGGGGGGAGGCAGGTTATGTGGGGCTTTGAATGCCAAATGGAAGAATTTGTATTTGACTCTAAGAGGGCTCTTTTAAGAGTTTATTGAGCAGAGGAGTGATAAAATCAGAATTGGGCTCTCAGTAAATCACTGGAAGTTTTGGGAGATCGATTATGAAGTATCTACTTAGAAGATGGCAAAGAAATAACAATACTTGTCTAACGCTTTCAAGAAGTTGACTCCTCTTTTAGAGAGACCAAATATGAACATTCCTGAAAGATTAAATAAAGATATGAGTTAAATAATAATACAAACCAACAAAATAACATCCTGTCACAAGAAGCTACATAATGATATGCCAATTGAGTAGTATAAACAGGAAGGGCTATGAGTTTGAAGGAAGGAGAAGTAATCATGGGCTGAAGGGATGAGAGAATTCTTTCTGGAATAGATGGAACCTGGTCTAGTCCTTGAAAATTGAATAGAGTTTGGATAAGCAGAACAAAATTTCATGTGGAGGATTGATGTGAGAAAAAGAGTAGAGAATGAAATGTACATAGAGGCTGGAAAGTGTGGATTTAAGATACAATGAACAGATTAGTCTGGATAAAATAGAGGTCCTCTTTAGGGGAGTATTGCTGGAAGAGTAAGGATAGAAAGTTAGTCTAAGGACAGCTTGTGGGGAATCTCAGATGTCAACCTAAGGGGTGTGGATGTTAGCCTCAGTTTTGAATAAGGTGCATGACATAATGAATTCATTTGGTAATAGGGCACACAAGAGGTTGGAAAGAAGAAGGCCTACCAGAGAAAGGAGAGAATTTTAAATCCACACATAGTCAACATAGCTGGTTGAAATATATGTCGTTGTCTTTTCTTCATAGAGCCAAACAAGGAGTGAGATGAATTTTCTCACCAAATTGACCAGCTGTTTGATTGAACTAAATTAATTTTTCATTCACCAATTTTTCTTCTTGCTCTTTGGGTATTGAACTGTATTTAATGAGAATAAGAGACCTGGGTTCATAACCAGAGCTTCCAGTGCCATGAAGAGAGAGAGAGAGAGCGAGAGAGAGCGAGAGCCTATGTGTCATCTCTCTCTCTATCTATTATTGTGGAGGGAGTGGTGTTTTTCTTCATCCTAACAAAGAGAATAGAGAATGAAGGTTTCTGTGAGTCTGAAATTAGAGTGCAGGAGACTAGCAGTAATCATATTTACTTGGAACTCTACCTGACAAGTCTACTTAGACATTCTGAAGTCTATGTAAATGTATTCTTATCATGTAAATACAATGGCATCCCTCTTTCCTTAACTTGTAAACCTGGAAAACATTAGAGGAGATCAGTGGGTTAGTGTGTGGGAGTCATCTCAAAGTAAGTGATGGAATGGAGGAACAAAGGGAAGAATGAATAGCCAAGAGCCTAGATCAAGTCAATGGCTAATTAAGGCTTCTCTGGCCTGTTCCTTCCAAGCAGCCTGACAATCATATAAAACCCTGGATTTGAGTTTCAGTGAGGTGAAACTTATCAAGAATATGAACTGACCCCCAGATCTCTGAGGCATATTTGGCCTGCTGTGCAATCATACCATTTGTGATTCAAAACCCTTGCTAATCATTTCCAGAAATTGCTTCTCCCTGAGGACTATGCTGCAAAGGGTCCCATAGACTTGTGATTTAATAATAAGATGCCATATTTCATATTTTAAATCAAATCTGCATAGGGATGAAAACTCAATTAGTATGAGTCTTTCCTTTTATAGGATGTAAACACATGCTCTCTGGAAGAGTGTGTGTGTATGTGTGTGTGTGTACTCTCTCTTTTCTCTCTGAGAGAGGGCAAAACAGGACACATGTATTGCCCTACCCTTGAATAACCTGTGGAAGAAAATTTGAGCTAGATAAATATAGTCAAGGCACAGTGTCAAGGGAACAGCATCATGGTTACTAGCATCATAGTTATTGGTATAGTTGTTTGCATCCAGAGCACCACTAGCAATGTAGCTTGTTTTCTTTGGAATTTAACCAAAATTCTTACCCTTCTTACCCTTTCCATCTTTATTTTTTTTCAAATATTACTTTTTCCATGATTGAGTATTATAGCTTTGTTATCTCTCCTATGTGTCCTATCAGGGAAGAGATGGAAGCAGTATCAAATTTTATATTCTTAGGCTCAAAGATCACTGCAGATGGTGACTGTAGCCATAAAATTAAAAGACATTTGCTCCTTGGAAGGAAGGCTATGGCAAATCTGGACTGCATACAAAAAAGCAGAGACATAACCTTACTGACAAAGGTCCATATAATCAAAGCTATGGTTTTTCCAGTAGTAATGTATGGCTGTAAGAGTTTGACTATGAGGAAATCTGAGTGTCACAAAATTGACATTTTCAAATTGTTGTGTTGGAGAAGACTTTTGAGAGTCCTTTGGACAGCAAGGAGATCAAATCCATCAATGATTAAAGGAATTAATTCAGGCTGTTCACTGGAAGGACAAATACTGATGCTGAAGAATAAATACTTTGTCCATATAATGAGAAGACAAGACTCATTGGAAAAGATGCTGATGTTGGGAAAGATTGAAGGCAAAAGGAGAAGGGGACAGCAGAGGATGAGATAAATAGATAGTGTCATGGAAGCAATGAACATGAGCTTGGACAGATTTTAGGAGATAGTGGAGGATGGAGGGGCCTGGGGTGCTATGGTCCATGGGGTCATGAAGAGTTGGGCATGACTGAATGACTAAACAACAACAAAAGTATTTCCTGACCTATGGAAAAGAAAAAGAGTAAAAAAGGAAGGAAAGAAGAAAGGAAAGAAAGGAAGGAAGGAAGGAAGGAAGGAAGGAAGGAAGGAAGGAAGGAAGGAAGGAAGGAAGGAAGGAAGGAAGGAAAAAGATAGAACCATTCTACTTTATCAGCATAGTCAAGCAAAACAAACCCCAGTGCTGGCCATGTCTAAAAATATGCTTCTCATTCTGTGTATTCTGAGATGAAGGGTGCATTGATCTTTTCTTCATAAATCCTCTGTAATCATGGTTACTCATTTCACTGATCAGAGTTCTTAAGTAATAATAGTATCAGCTGGCATTTACATGATACTTTAAAATTTGCAAAGTGCTTAACAAATTTTATCTCATTTTATCCTCATCACAACCCCTGCAAGGTAGCTACTATTAGTATCCCCATTTGCCAGATAAAGAAATTAAGGAAAACAGAGTTGAAGTGTCTTGCCTAGGGTCACACAGATGTCAAGTGTTTGAGGCCAGATTTGAATTCAGGGCTCCTGGATATAGAGGGGATGAGAGATAGTGAGGAACAGAGGATGATGTTATCCTCTACAGTAACAGAGAAGGTAGGAGGTAGGGGAAAGATGAGTAGTTTGGTTTGGACATGTTGAGTTTAAGATGTCTACTATACATCTAGTTCCAAGATGTCTTAAAGGAAGTCACAAATGAGACATTGGTGGTGAGCAGAGAAGTTGATAATATTAAGCATCGAGATGGTAATTAAATCCCTGGTTACTGAAGAACTTATTAAATGAAGGAGTATAGAGGGAGAAAAGAAGAGGGACCAAGGAAGAACCCTGTGGGACATCTACAGTGAGAGGGTATGATCTGGAAGATAATCCAGCTTCTGAGGAACAAACAGATAGGGAGAGAACCAAGAGAAGGAGATGTTCAAATTGACAGGTGAAACTCATATGATCACCACCACCCCTCTCCTTTCAAATGATCGACCTTTCGCAGTTTGCCCATGGGAAGACAGAAAACACAGTGTTTTAGTGTCTACCTTTCTGAAAATGCTCTCAGTTCAAATCCTCCAAATATTTTATCCTGAAACTCAAAACTTGGAAAAATAGAGTGAGTTTGGGATTCCATCTTAGAAATTAAATATTCCATATTCAAACTCTATTCATTTGTGATTTGCAAATCCATCACCAACATTTGACACTAAGTGTCTAGCTGTCTTTGCATAAAGATGGATATTTCAACGTAGTTTGGAAGTTCAATGTGACTTAACAATGACATTTTAATTCTAGGTAGTTATCAGGAAGATATAGCAATCTCTGGGCCTCTTTGATATGAGCCCTTTAAATAAGCAAAATATGGAAAGAATATACACCAAAAATACTTAAGACAAATTTTGATATTTTATTTTCATCAAGCTTTATTCCTATATTAAGTCTATTTGACATTGAGACTAAATAATGAGCTGAATTGCTAATAAATTGGCTCATTGAAGTCTTTTTTAGACTTTTTTAAGAGTCCAAACGCATATCCTTTTCATAAGCATTTAGGAGCCACAAAATTGCTCATAAATACTGCAGTGCATCTCTGTTATACTCATAGCACCCAGTCTTATTTGTATCAGCTTCTGTTCTGTGTAATCAATGCTCTTCAATCCCTGTACGCCTTGTGACATTTTATGTTCATTATTCTCTAGGAATATGCTCCATGCCCCTGTAATGAAATTAAAAAGAAAATCTTTCTGGTGTTTATTGGAATGTCCAGCAGCATGTTTTATGTAAGAGAATTGGCTTGCTAAATTCTCCTTTGTATTCCATTGTCCTTCTCTTGTATATATCCATGAAAATAGTTTGGAATCGCCAGTTAGAGCAAACATGATCAATGCACAGCAAAAGTCAAACTTACTCAGATTGACCAAATTCTCAAAATCATTTGTCTGATATCACAAATCCAAAAGATTATTCTTCAACTTTTATTTGGCTTTGATCACTTTCACATGATCTTTGACCATTTAAAATCTAGCTTTAAAAATCAATACCCCAGGACGAAAATGGTGAATTATAATGTGTTCATGAGGCCAGTGTAGAAACAGCCTTAACTTAAATAGGCTACACCTCATTAAAGAGGAAAGGGAAAGAGAATAATATAACATGGCAAAATTCCTGACACATTCCAAGGGCATTCCTAGAGAATTTCTAAAGGAGTTTCTAAACTCTTTTTGAAGTGTGCATGCAATTTGCAGTTAAGTCAATACTCCTTACACATGCGTACAAAGAAGTGAATAAATCATAACATTGTGAGCATAAGGTCTGGGGAAGTGGGTTCTTGTCAAATCATCTTACCTCTTGTATTTCTCTAAGAAGGCAGAGTTAAGATAACATGTGAACTTGTGTACTGAGCTTGTTACAAGGGGCAACAGGTAGAAAATATGTTCTACAAACTGTTCTCTAAAATTTCCAATGTAAATCTCATATGCATATTTGGTTATTTTAAATATGGCAAGATTTTTTAATTGGTTCAAGGTCAGCTTCAGGGAGGAGATAAATAACATGTCTTATGGTTTAGAAGAGTTAAAATAGAAGCATTATATGTTTGACTGGGGGAAGACTCCCAGCAAGGCTCACGTTATTTAGAAAAGGCGTGTAATACAAGTCAGAAAGAATTCATCAAAATCATCATTTAATGTCACAAAAGTTTAGCCTAAAATGAATGGCATTTTGTTGTTGAATTTCCCTTCTTCATCCTTCATGCCCACTCCACATCCCTTCATGCAGATATTCCATGAGAATTCTAGGGCCAAATGTAAAGGGAAAAGTTTAGAATTAGAATTTAAAAGGGAAAAAAATGCGGATAGGTTTCTGGCACCAGCCACCTCCGAAGTGCAGGCCAAGGAGTACTTTGCATTTTGTAAAGACATTTGGAAGTACATCTAAATTACAGAGATGTCTACCTCTGAGAACCATAGCACCAGGCAAAAGAATCTGCAAATACTTGGGAAAGAATATGAGCAGAGCCAATAACTTTTTCTGTGGTATGGTATGGGGGTTGTTCAATTGCCCACCCACGGAGCAGTTGCTGACACTCCATCGTAAGATTCCTGGGGACCCACACTGAATTAAACCTGGGCTGGGTCCATTTCTTTGGCAGGGTGGGAAACACATGATGAGGTGCGTTCTGGCTTTCGGAAGCAAGAAGCTGCATGGCTTGGTTATTTACAGCTAATCTGAAAATGATGTCTTTGAAACTAGCCCATCGCTTGCCTGGAGGGCATAAACTCTGTATCCTGTCTGCAACTGGGAGGGAGGGCTGGCGAAGGTTTAGAGCACAAGACGAGTAGGGCAGGAAAAGAGCTGGCTTGGATTCTTGGCTAAACCCCAGGTTTGCTTTGGGCCCATGAGGAAAAGCAGTTAATGTATCTGAGCCTCAGTTTCTCAGCTGCAGAATTGTGGTGAGTTGTTTTGGAAGATACTTGTAAGCCTGGAAAAGAAAGGTGCAAGCAAGCACTTTACCTCTGTTTGTTGTTTGCCTTTCCTCCATGGTTGCACTTTCATCCTCCATACCAGTGTGGCTTTGGGGGCTTGGTTTCTACAGGAAGACAGGGAACCACATTAAACAAAAGGATGGGAAAAGGTACGGTGCCAAATTTAGAACCCACTAAAATGGCGTGAGTTTCATGTTTAGAAGTGGCCTTTAACTTGTACTTTGTTTACCCTTGGCAAGATGAAACTTCCTGTTTTGAAGGAAAACAGCTTTATAAAAACACTTCAATAGTCATCTTGGACATCTGCATACTGACACTAAACAATATTTTGGTGTTTAATGTGTAAATGAGTCAAAACAATGTGAGTAACATTTCCTTTAAAATACATGTGGGTTTCAAAAAAATGAAGTTGGGGTGGAGGATGCTTTGCTCAACACGTTTTGGATGGAGAGGACCAAAAGCATTTGAAAGCCGGTTTTAAGATGTTTGCTGAATTCAAAACGTGGCCAAAGCCAACCACTCTTAGTGGAAAGGCAAGCAAACAATTTATTATTAAAATAGCTCATGGATTCGATTACTTGTTGGGCTCTGTGCTTCTGACTCTTATGGCCAAAGTAATCTCCGGGAAGTGAATGTGGTCCTTGTGAAAAGTCGTGGGACTGGGGCTCCCTGCCTATTCTTGTTAGGACGAGCCTCTTGGTGTGACTCATTTTCATTTTCTCCTGAGACAAGAAGTTTCAGGCTCATTTGATTGCTACCCTGTCTGTAACTGCTGGCTATAAGGGTAATTTTTATCAGATGTTAATTCCAAGGCTGCTATCAGCCTGTTATGGCCAATTTCAGACGGGTGAGTTTTTCGGCCCAGCAGGGTATTCCTGTATCAATTTTCTTTGCAAGATTTCTCAGACAATGAGCAAAACTGCCAAGCAATTACCTCTGCACGCACAGGTGTTTCTGTATGAGAAATATCTATCAGACAACTTGCCATCTATCCCACAGGATATCTAACCCATTAAAGACCACTCCCTGGTCCCCTTGGTAATGATGAAATCAGAGATAGACTAAAGTGCAAAAGATTCCATCATTTAGTCAGAGTTCTTTCTTTGGCACTTTCTTCAATCCTTTGATGAATTCATGATCTTACTAATGTGAATACTTACTCCAGTAATGTAGATTGCAACCCATCCATTTCTTCTCCTTCTTTGAAATATTTGTTCATATCCTATTGTAAATCTTTTCCACAAGGGCTCCTGCTAACATACTTGTGACCTTCTTTGATTGCTTTTCAACATTTTTTTTTTGTCTCAAGGACCATGTTGGCAGCCTGGTGAAGACTATGGATCCCTTCTCAGAATGATGTTTTTAAATGAATAAGATAAAATGTGTAGGACTATAAAGGAAACCAATTATACTGAAATACAGGTATCAGAATTGTATATTAAGAAAAAAACCTCATGGACTCCAGATTTAGAATTACTGCTTAGATCACAGAATTATAATATAATAGATTTAGAGTGGTAGAAGGGTGGAGCCAAGATGGCAGAGTAAAAGCAGGGGTTTGCCTGAGCATTTCCAAATTACCCTCCAAAACACTTTAAACTAACACTTCAAAATGAATTTTGGAGCAGCAGAACCAACAAAAGGATGGGGTGAAACAATTTTCCCTCCCAAGACAACTTAGAAGGTTAGCAGGAAATGTCTGTCTCGTTGGTGTGAGAGTGGAACACAGCACAGCATAGGCTACATCCCAGTAAGCAGTGGTAGGGCTTTTGGAGCTCTCAAACCGTAGCTGGCAAGGGAGTCAGAAAACAAGTCAGGAGATTATAATAGACTGTTTGCTGGTGCAGGACTCTGTTGCACTGCCCTTATGTGGTTTTGAGTTGCAGTTCCAGGGACAGAAGGAGCATGTGCTCACTAGAGGATGCGACTACAGGAGAGTGGGGACCCTGGTCACAGTTTTAGAGTAGAGAAGAGTGTTTGTGGTTGCTTATAATCCAGACCAGGCCAAAAGAGCAGTGAGCACTCCTCACCTTAGATCATACCACTTTGGAAGAACTGAAAACCTACAGATCCACAGAAGTAGCTTGGAAAACAGCAGCAAGAAAGGTCTGAAGCTTGAAACAGTGCTTCCTCCACCCCAGGGGCAGAGCCCAAATTCAACATAAAGTTAAAAGTCAAAGATTAGGCTGGAAAAAAAAATGTGTAAACAATGAAAAAGAACCTGAGCATAGAAAGTTACTTTGGTGACAGGGAAGATCAAGATACAAACTTGGAAGAAAACAACAAAGTCAAAATAGGTACATGTAAAGTTGCAAAGAAAAATGTGAGTTGTTCTCAGACTCAAAAAAGAATCCCTGGAAGAGCTCAAAAAGGATTATAAAACTCAAATAAGATACATAAAAGAAAAATTGTGAGAAGAAATGAGAGTGATTCAAGAAAATCATGAAAAAAGAGTCAGCAGCTTAGTAAAGGAGGCACAAAACGCACTGAAGACAATAACACCTTAAAAAAAAATAAGCCAAATGGTAAAAGAGGCACAAAAAATCATGGAAGAGAAGATCTCCTTAAAAATCAGAATTGGACATATAGAAAAAGAGGTACAAAAATTCACCGAAGGGAACTCTTAAAAAGTATAATTGGCCAAGTGGAAAAGGAGTTACAAAAGCTGACTGAAGAAAATAATTCCTTAAAAATTAGAACTGAGCAAATGGAAGCTAATGAATTCATGAGACATCACAAAAAAATAAAACAAAGTCAAAAGAATGAAAAAAATAGAAGAAAGTGTGAAATACCTCATTAGATAAACAACTGACTTGGAAAATAGATCAAGAAGAGATAATTTAAGAATTATTGATTGCTTGAAAGCCTTGATAAAAAAAATAAAGAGCCTGGACATCATATTTCAAGAAATCATCAAGGAAAACTGCCATGATATTCTAGAACCAAAGGATAAAAATCTAAAGTGAAAAAAAATCCATCAATTACTTTCTGAAAGAGATCTCAAAATGAAAACTCCCAGGAATATTTTAACCAAATTCCAGAGCTCCCAAATCAGAGGAAATATTGTAAGCAGCCAGAAAGAAAAAAATTGTGGAGCCACAGTCATGATAACCCAAAATTTAGTAGCTTCTATACTAAAGAATCAGAGGACTTGGAAAATGATATTCTGGAGAGCAAAGGATCTAGGATTACAACCAAGAATCTCATACTCAGAAAAACTGAGCATGATCCTTCAGGGGGGAAAGTGAATATTTAATGAAATAGAGGATTTTCAAGCATTCTTAATAAAAAGACCACAGTTGAATAGAAAATTTGATTTTCAGATACAAGTGTCAAGAGACACAAAAAAGGCAAATTTCTCTGATAAAGACCTCATTTCTCAAATGTATAGAGAATTGAGTTAAATTTATAAGAATACAAATCATTCCCCAATTGAGAAATGGTCAAAAGGTATGAACAGGTAGTTTTCAGACCAAGAAATCAAAGTTGTCTATAGTCATGTAACAAAATGGTCTAAATTACTATTATTAGAGAAATGTAAATGAAAGGTATCACCTCACACCTATCAGACTGGCTAATGTAACAGAAAAGGAAAATGACAAACATTGGAGGGAATGAGGTAAAATGGGACATTAAAGCTCTGTTGGTGGAGTTGCAAACTGATTCAACCATTCTGGAGAGCAGTTTGCTACTACTCCCAAAGGGCCATAAAACTGTGCATACCCTTTGATCTAGTAATACCATTACCAGGTTTGTATCCCAAAGAGATTTTTTTTTAAAGGAAAATATTTGTAACAGCTCTTTTTGTGGTGGCAAAGAATTGGAAATTGAGAGGATGTCCATCAGTTGGGGAATGGCAGAACAAGTTGTAATATATGATTGTGATGAAATACTAATGTATATAAGAAATGATGAATAGGATGGTTTCAGGAAAACCTGGAAAGACTTCTATGAATTGATATAAAATGAATGAGCAGAACCAGGAGGACTTGTATACAGTAATAGCAATGTTGTATGATGATCAACTGTGAATGACTTAGCTATTCTCAGCAATACAATGATCCAATATAACTCCAAAGGGCTTATGATAAAAAAAAGAAAGTTATCTACCTCTAGAGAAAGAATCAATGAAGTCTAAAGGCAGAGTGAAGCATACTTTTTTAAAACTTTATTTTCCTTTTTTTTGTTCTGTGTTTCTTTCACAACATGGCTATATATGTTTATATATACGATTGACTTTTCAATAAAAGGCAAAGGAGAGAGAGAATTTGGAACTCAAAATTTTAAAAAATTAATGCTAAAATTGTTTTTACATGTAATTGGAAAAAATAAAATATAAAAAATAAGATTTAGAACTCTGAGGGAACCTTTAAGATCATCTTCACTAACACTGTCATTTTACATAAAGAGAAAAATGAGGCTATGATTCTTTAAGTGCCTAGTCCAAGGACACTTGAGTAGCAAGTCGTAGGGCGAAATTTGGACCCAGAGCCTCTGATGATAAATCTAGAATTTTTCCTGCATTGCTATTTATGGTACCTCCCTCAGTAACATCTTTATATTTCATGAATACCAGTGAATAAATATGTGTTATCCTCCCCTTGCTCTAGCTATCATGACTAGCCCACCTCCTTTTCCATTTGTGTATCTCTCTGATGCCATCTCTGTTGTGCGATTCTTCGTTAGTGATGTGTTGCAGCCCACTCATGCCTGCCACATCTTTTCATTGCCCCTTGGGTGACTTTCAACTTTAATTTTTCTGAAACTGTGATATTCTATGACTGGCAAGTTGTTTTTGATATTCCAGTATTATGAATATTGATATTAAAAAGATGGGTCTTGTTTTAGGGAAAAGCTTGATATCTTTGACAAATACCATGTACTGTGCCAAAAACAATTTAGGCTTACTCCTCTGCTCCTATTTTAATCTTTTAATCAGCTGCTAGGTAGCTGGATGGTGTAGTGGCTAGAGTTCTGGACCTGGAATCAGGAAGACCTGAATAAAAATCTGACCTTAGACATTTGCTGTGTAACACTAGGAAAATCACAGATTTCTATCTGCCACAGTTTTCTCATCTTTAAAATGAGGATAATAGTACCTACT